CAGGGGCGTGGCTCCGGAGTGCAATTACAGGGGACAGTTACTAATTATTATTATTTTTAGCTAGTCCCTTACCGCAGTCCTCACCTTGCACCCCGTTATCGAAGGGCGGTTTCGGGGTCTTGAGGAGCCTTTCCTCTAGACTTTGAGTAAGGTCCTCCCCGCCCCCCCGGGGCTCATTCATTAGTCGAGATCATCGAAGACCCCTCCCGGGGCTGCTGCGACACCCCCAGCCTCATGCCTGCACAGTACTCATGATCACTCAGCATTTTTCCTTCTTATTATTATCATGCTTCTCGGATACTTCTGTTTGCTCATTTCACTTGGTGAGGGATTGGCCAATGTTTACTGAGCGCCTCCTGGGTGCCAGGCTCCGTTCTAGGCCTGGGGACTCCCCAGTGAACAAAACAGACCAAAGCCCTGCCCTCCTGGAGCTCCCAGGCCAGGGGGTGGGTGCAGGGAGGGAACAGACAATAACAAGTGAAATAGGGATACGGAGATGACAAATGCCGCAGATTGTAGGATTTTAGATAGAAGGACAGGGAAGTCCTCTCTGTGAAGGTGACATTAAGTGCATACTTTACATAGGTAAAGGCATGAGCAACATGGATATCTGGAGGAAGAATGAGCCAGGCAGGGAAGGGCGTGTGCAAAGGCCCTGAGGCAGGGGGGAGGCTGGAGTGTAGAAGGCGCACCAGGGAGGCCATTGTGGCTGGAGCAGAGAGGATGGAGGGGAGAGAGGAGGGGGGCAGAGAGCTAACAAGGTCAGGTGGAGCAGGGTCATGAAGGCTATTGTCAGGACTTTTATTCTAAGTGAGGTGGGAGCCATGGGAGGCTTTTGAGCAGAACAGTAACATGACCAGACGCAGGTTGAACAGGCTCCCTCCCAGTGCCGTGTGGGGAACAGGCTGCCAGGGAGCCCAACACGCAGGCTACTGCAAGGGTCCAGGCACAGGATTCGGGGTTTGAACCAGGGTGGTAACAGCGGAGGTTGCTGGGAAGTGGTTGGATTCTAGATATTTGGAAGGCCAGACCGCCAGGCCTTGTTGCCGCAGCAGATACAGTGAGAGAGAGAGAGAGAGAGAGAGAGAGGCATCAAGCAGTTTGGGGCCCAAGAAACCTCAGGATGGAGCTGCCCTGGAATGGATGAGATGGCACCGGGGAGGCCAGAGGGTTGGGGTCAGGGGTGAGTCTGCCCAGGATGCTCACGGCCAGGCTGCAGAATCCCAAAGAGGCCCCAACCCAGACTTGAAACACAAAGGAAGAGCGGAGCCTGGGGCCTCGCAAACACCCAGCAGGTATCACTGTCCTCATCTGCCGGGTCAGGAAACGAGGCTAAGGGAGGCTGGGTGACTGCCCTAAGGTCACACAGCAGGGAGACAGTTTCAGCTCAGGTCCAATTGACTCGGGAGCCAGAGCTCTTAGCTCATCAGGAGACGCAGGTGCTGGCTGTGCGGGCCAGGGAGGGCAAACAGGTGAGAGCTGCCTGTTCCTCCCCAGCCGTGAAAACAACCGTCAGAATCCCCACCTCCCGGAGCCAAGGACGCACTAGTTGGGCCACCCTCAGGGACACATCCAGGGCAGGGTGTGATGTAACAGAGCCAGGAGGTGGAGACCAGGGAGGCACTTGCTCGGGGTTTCCCAGCCACACTCTGCTCCCCTCTGGAACTCCGGGCTCTGCATTCTTTTATACATTCTGGTTTTAGACAGAGCTGGGCCTTGGTTTGCCCAACTGTCAAATGGGAGAAGGCAACTTGGACTTTCCTTCCCTGCTTCCCAAGACCTTTTAAAGGAGAGCTAGGTGGGAGAAGAGAAGACCTGTGCCCCATCACTCAGAGCTAGGGACACCAATGCCCTCTTGAGCACCAGAAACAAAAATGGCCATCACTGCTTCAGTGCCCACTGTGTGCTGGGAACCATCCTTATAGCTTCACATCCGTTAAGTTATTACAGCCTCATAGCAAATCTAAGAGCTGGCTACTATTAGTTGAAGAAACAGAAGCACAGAGAGGTTAAGTGACTTGTCCAAGGCGACACAGCAAGTTGTTGGCAGAAGGTGGATTTGAACTTCGGCCTGTCTGACCATGCAGACCATCCTGTCCACCACAAAGTTATACAGCCTCTCAGGAAAGTGACTTCTTGCTGTCTGGAAATGAACATGCCTCAGATGTCAGAGGTACAGGTGTGAATTAGTCCCTCTGAGGTTTGAGCCTTCCCCTGAGTCCCCCAGCTGCTGATGGACTGGTCAGAATGTCCCCATCACACGGCGTCTCTACCTGGTTCTGTCGTTTTTCTCCCCAGGGCAAGCCCCTAACCCTCTTAGGCTCTCAGTGATGGGACATAGAACCACACATGTAGATATTTTTGTTTGTTTGTTTGATATGGGATCTCGCTGTTTTGCCCAGGCTGGCCTTGAACTTCTGGTCTCTAGCGATCCTCCTGCCTCAGCTTCTCAAGTAGCTGGGACTACAGGTATGCGCCACCTTGCCCAGAAATTTTTTATACATTTAAAAATGAAGAGGTACATGGACAGCAGAGTCCACGCATCGATGAATGGATGAAAAAATGTGGTCTATCCTAGGGTGGGACATCAGTCAGCAGAAAGAGGAACAAAGCACTGACACAGGCTGCGACGTGGGTGAACCCTGAAAACATCACGCCATGTGAGAGAAGCCAGACACAGAAGACCACACTGCCACAATTCCATTTATATGAAATGACAAAAGGTCGGGGCAAATCCACGGAGAGAACACAGATGGGTGGTTGCCAGGGGCTGGGGGAAGGGGAGGACGGGAAGTGGGTTTCCTTTTGGGGTGATGAAAAACCTCTAAAATCAATACTCTGTTCATGGGTGAATTGTATGGTATGTGACTTATATCTCAATCGAGTTGTTATTAAAAAATGGATATGTCCAGACAGAAGATCAAACACAGCGACATATAGTATTTTGTCTTTTTCCCCCTTTTTGGTTCTTATATGGTCAGTTTTCTCAATTTGGTGTTTTTCAAATCGCAGCACTGATACATTCTCGTTGAAGCAACTGGAACAATGTATAGAGATCTAAAGAGTTAGTCATCTTGTCCCTAGCACCGCAGCTCCAAACCCACCCCGTGCCCTGCATCCGATCACGACATCGGCGTATAAATTAACTCGACGTGATGGGAAAGCTAACAGCTGTCTTCCTTCAATCCCCCGCCCCGGCTGCGTGGACAGCCTCACGTGGAGATAGCATCCAACCCATAAATCTGGGACCCCCGAATGTGGCCAGGCTGGCAAGACGTCCCCCAGCCCCCTCAACCCTCTCCGTTGCCCCCTGTCCACAAAGGTCTCAGGATGCCGGAGTCTGCATGTCATCGCTGCCACCTGCCACCTGGTGCTCTCAGGCGACTTTACTCAACCCGGGAGCCTGTTTCCTCACCTGTAACCTGGGACTCCACACGCCCATTCCCAGGGTTGTCTGGGGCATCAGGGAGACCCCGGCCAGGAAACACATGGCTTGGGATCAGGCGCCGGCAGGTGCTCTGGCAATGTGAGTGCCGCCTGTATACATTTGTACACACGTGAGCTTCGCGATGCCCACATCTCCCCAGCTTTGCCATCCCATGTCCCCAGTGCACGCCTGTGGATGTCCCACTGGGGAGGGGGCTTGGGAGTGCTGCGGAAGGTCAGCGGGGACAGCCGGAGGAGACAGCTTGTCCCGCAGAGGGGGATGGCTGTGCGGGCTGTTTGTGCCCTGGCTGTCCTCTGTCTCATCGATATTCTCGTCCCGGCCAGCTTCACAAGACAGCTTTGTTGAGGGGGCTGGGAAGAAAGCTGGCAGCCACCGTGGGATGTGTGTGTGTGTGTGTGTGTGTGTGTGTGTGTGTGTGTGTGCGTGTGTCTGCATGGGAGAAAGAGAGAGAGAGAGAACCACCCCTATGGACAGACAGACCACACAGCTGAGGACAAGGAGGAGGCTTAGCGTGGGGCATGGACGGTTTTCAGATGCAGGACTTCCCAGTTCTGCAGTGAGGATGATGGTGATGACGATGGTGATGATGACGGTGATGACGATGGCTGCTGACACTTACTGAGCACTCGCTCAGCCCCAGGCCCCTCACACGCACACATTGGTACCACGTCATCCAAGCCTGGGAGGGAGGTACCATCATCACCCCATTTTACAGATGAGCAAACAGAGGCTCCAGGAGACAACTCGCCAATTGCCACGCAACTAGTAAACAGAGTCAGGATTGGAATGCAGCCCCCTGTGTCTCCCCCACCTGCCCCTTCACACCCAAGGGTCATAAAAGTATGACAGGGGAAGGTCACCAAGAAAGGCAATAAGGACCTGTGTTTGGGTTGCAGGTGTGGCAGTCAGACTACCTGGGTTCCAGTGCCAGCTCCTCTCTCTTACTGCCTGTGTGACCTTGGGCAAGTGACACCCCCGTGTGCCTCAGCTTCCCTTTCTGCAAGATGGGGATAATAATAGTAGCCACCTCCTGTGTGGTTTGTCACTTGCTCAGGGCTCAGTGGCTGTTAAACGTTCTGGCTTTATTATTGTCGTTGTTTCTTGGGCACCTACTACATGCCAAGCACATGCTGGAGACTTTAAGTGCGTTATCACGCATGATCTTCATGCAATCCTCCTAACGGTCTTTGGGAAGTAGATATTGTCCCCATTTGCAAGGGGAAACTGAGGATCGGAAAGGAGAGGTGGAAAGGGGTCAGGTGGGGTTGTGGGAAAGACAGGGGAAGGGGCGGGGGAGAGAAGCTCGCCAGCTTCCCGCTCAGCTCCTGAAAGCCCCGGCCAGGGGGCGGTCCCGGAGGGGGTGTGGCTGGCCCTGGGGCCCCATTGGCTGCCCGGAGGCGCTGGGGGAATAAAGCCCAGGCCCGGTGGCCCCGGGACCATTCAGCAGACAGTCTACCGTCCCTCCATCTCTCCGTGGGCCTCTACCCAGCCAATCCCGCCTCCCTGCTCGCTCTGTCCGGCCGCCCTGCTCGATTGCCTGTGCCCAGTAAGTGGCCCCCATCCTCCGCCTCACCCCGGTACTGGCCCGTGGTTTCCCAGGGGAACAGGGAGAGACAGAGTCATAAAAACCCATGCTTTGGAGCCAGACAGGCTGAGTTTGCATTCAGTTCTGTGACTCAGTTTCCTCGTCTGTAAAATGGGGATAACAGTGGAAGCTTCCTCCTAGGGTGGTTATGAGGGTGGAATGAGATCTGCGCTTAAAGCGCAGCCCACATATACTAACAGTTCATATTTCCTGAGCACTTATGTGCCAGGTTGAGAGAGGTGGTGACTTCCTGCGGGTGTTGCTCAGGCAGACGCACCCCCTCCCTCTGCCGTGACTTGACAATCTCTGCTTCCAAGTCATGCGTTCCACGGGGCAGGGTGGGACGGGCAGGCCGAGCGCAGTTCACGGATGCCGGCTTTCCCGGGAGCCCCAGCAGAGAGGGGCAGCCCAGACCCCTTACCGTAAACATCCAGTGGCGCAACCCGGGACAGGGGGTGGGAAGGGCTTCCCGAAGCCACCTGAAAGGGGCATCCCCAGCCACGAGGCCCGTCTGAGGGCAGGGCTTGGTGACCTACACAGGGCTTTCATGTTCAGTCGGGGGGTAGCATTGCTTGGGGGTGTCAGGGGTGGCATTGTTTGGGGGGGTAACCTCTGGGAGATGAAAGTTAATTCAAAGAGATTTGGGGATGCCCTGCTGTGGAGTGCCCCCCGTCTCTGACTTTCACTGAAGAGATCTGGGGGGGTGTCTAAGTACCGCGGCCCCCCCAGGCCCTGAACGTCAGCTGATTCAGACAGGCACGGGCTGCCCCGTCTGCGGAGTGCCGAGACTGGTGCAGTGGCCACATCGCCACCCCTCACTTTCCTTCTGGCCCCAGGGGCTGTCCGGCTCAGTCCGGGAGGGGGTCCGAGCCAGCAGTGCCCAGGCCAGGGGGCTGGACCAGGTGGTGTGGCTGGGGACGGGGTGCTGGCCACCCTCTCCTGGCCCTCCGGGGCCGTGGAGGAAGGGGGACCGGACAGTCTCTCCTGGCTCAGCCCACGTTGGGCAGAATCTGATCTCCCCTGCGACTCTCAGCAGAAACAGGAAGACGGAGAGGCTGGGCGGGTGCGCGTGGTTGTGAGCAGACTCTAGGCGACTTCGACGGCTGCATCGCCCACAGCCTGTCCACAAGGGGGAGCCCGAGCAAAACCCACGGGCCCTGAGCTGCCTGCCCAGGTTCAAACCCTGCCTCCCCCGCTTGCTAGCAGTGTGATTGAACAAGTCGCGTTAATATTCTAGTTCCTATTGCTGGGCAGCGAACTACCTCGAAACGTGACTCCCGACAGCAGTGGTCATTTTACTATTGTGTGTCCCAGTCCCGGAGCTCAACTGGGTTCAGCGAGGCAGTTCTCACTTGGGTCTCTCGCACAGTGACGCTATGACGGGGGCCAAGCTGGGGTCCTCTCAAAGGCGTCCTCCCTCCCGCGTCTGGCAGTTGACGCTGGCCGCCAGCTGGGACCTCAGCAGAGCTGTCAGGCGGGACACGTCCATGTGGCCTCCGCATGTGGCCTGGGCTTCCTCCCAACATGGCAGCTGGGTTCTGAGAGGGAGCTTCCCAAAGGAGGAGGCCAGGAGGAGGCGGCGTCACCGTTTCCGTCCTAGCGCTGAGAGCAGCGGTGCGCTAGAACCAGCCCACGCAGCCTCGAGAGACCAGGCTGTGCCCATCTCTTCCCAGCTCCTCACTGCTCGTTTCACACTGGCCTTGGTAAATGTGCGCACGTCGCGGAAGCTGGCGCATGCCATGAATCGGGGCTTTCCTTTCCTTCGGACAGTTGAGCGTTAAACACTTACCAGCACGCCGCTGCTTGGAAGTCACATAGCGTCACTTCCACTAGCGGTCACCGGAGCCCAGGGTTCAAGGGGAGAAAACGTAGATCCCACCTCTCACTGAGAAAAGCAACAGCGCATTGCGAGAGGTGTGTAGGGTACCAGAATAGCTTGCAGTGGCAGCCCTGGA